GTGCGGCGCTTTCGGCCGTATGGTGACGGTCGTCAGAGAAGTATGGAGACGAACTGAGTGCTTGACCCAGGTTGCGACTCCTGGATCATGCTCGTCTGAGATTATGCAGCCGTACGTCAACTGGCGTGACATCATGCAAGAAAAGGGCTGGGACTTCTTGTTGATTTAAAATGCCTTGTCTAGATGTCCGCAGCTGCATGGCATGGCGTGAATTCAGCCTCCTTTCAAAGTAGCCGGTCTTCTTGGAAAAGGGTCGTCAAAACGCTTTTTGTTCAGACAAGACTGGAAGCAGAATTTCACTTCTGTCCGCTAGCCGCTTGTCTTCTTCTCATTTCCTTTTTGTTGCGCCTGCCTTTGACGTCTGTGTGGACCAAAAGGCAGGATTCCTTTGACTGGAACTTGTTTCTTCACTTGCATGTCTGCTGGCTACTGCATCGATTGCCTCAGACACCTTTGTTCTCTTGTCCAATCATGACTATTTTTTCTGTTCATTTTCTGTTCATCGTTCTTGGCTTCGCAGCCACCTTGATTTTTACAATATACCCTACTGGCATGGGACTTTACATAGAGGACGCCGCGAGGCTTACCGGGGTCACACCATTTTTTTTTACAGAGAGAAGCAACAGAGAAGCCTTCTTCAACATTTTCAACACTTGGAACAACTCGTGGATGACGGGGTTAGGGGGAGAGACGGGACTTGATGAATTGACGATTGGTTATGATCTGGGATTATGGAGGCACGCATGATGCTTTTGTTTGATTTCCCTTTGCAGTTTTTTTTCTAGCCGTTGTTGGGTTTTGAGGACATTTACATTCTTGGTTCCAGAGGGAAACAATTCTGGCAGGCATCACTCGTTAGTCCCCCGCGTACAGGGCTGGCTTGGAATTTGGGGGTTATCATTGGGACAGGGCAAGGCAGCACATGCAGCCCGTTGAGGGCTGCTGAAAGAGGAGGAGGACAATACCATCCCGTACATAGCAAATGAATACAAATACCCATACCAATAACCAACAAGTTCGTGTCTTTTTGAAACAGTGAATCGGAGATGGTCTTTGCACAGACGGAACCGGCAATCAACTTGGTCTGACCGACGTAATCCATCGACCGTTACATGAACATCCTCACTGTCCATTACTGCCATGTTGTGCGTTCCTGGCTTCCATTGACGGGTAAAAAAGCCCAAGCGGAAAGTCTATTTAGTGGGTGGCGATGCGCGTGGCTTCACGTTGTACAGGGAAGAGGATAAGGGCTATCTTTAGATTTCTCCGAATTCAACGCCATGATGTGAGATGAAGATGCCGTGCGCCCGACGCCTTGTTCCTACTATCTTCATTCATCTCCCCGCTCATCGGGTCGTGAATTGTGCGGAATACCCCGAGCGTGCGCGAGGCATGTACAGGCTACGGGAGCAGGCAGCTGCGGTATTGCAGCAGAATCAAGGTTTACTTTGCCCGCCACAGAACGGGCAAAGCATTTTGTGCTGTGAAGATGAAACCTTTTGGCTGGCTTTTACAATGTACGGAGTACCGGCGAGCACACCCCCGCCAAAACAATGGGGCTTTTCAACACGGAATCAAGTCTCGTCTTCACAAAACGGCTACTCCCGCAGCACGTCAATCAATCATCGTGTACTCGACGAAGAAGCGTAACCCGGCGGTTTGTGTATGGCTCTTTGTCATCTGTCTCTTTTACTCGCACAGAAAGAGAAGGACAAGAAAGCAGAAAGCACAGGTGTTTTTTTTTTTTTTCGTTAACAAGAGGCCCAGGCGACGGGCTTGTGGCGTGGCGTAGGCGGAATTCATGGCCGAACGGTTTAGCTTTCGACCATGTAACACGGCTGTCTGGGAAGTGCTACTGTGCTTTGTACGCCGAACGGCTTCGCTGCAACGCAGCTTGCCCGACCCGCGCAGCTTTTTGCTTGGCCCAGACGTCGGGGGAAATGGCGGTGCTGGGAACATGTTAATCCCAACAAAAAGGCGATACGTCGCGTCCCACGGCACCCTGGGGAACCAATTGCTGGAAGGGCTTGCAAGACAGTGTCGACGAACTGTGGCAGCTGGCCTGCAGAGGGTGTGAGCGTAGACACGTCCTCGGCAGACAGGACAGAGGACAGAAGCTATGGCCGCTGGTTCAAGCGGAATCCAGTACAAATGCTCCTAGCTGAGGTCGAACAGGGCGAGAGGGACGCAATTGCTGGGCAGGACGAAGGGGGGAAAGGCCTCGTAGCGGGCGGTGCGGCGCAACCAAGGACTGATGGCTGCTTGAGATGCATGATGGAGGTTTGCACATTGATGGGACAATGCCGCGGGGACGGGACCTGGGGGTGGCGGGTGACGCGGAGCGTGGTGGTATTTCTGCAGACCCAAATGACGATGGCCATGGGCAGAAATCAAGGCGATGCGGGTTGGCGTCGAGGCCATCTCGGCAGGTGAGTGGCTTCGCGATGCTGCATGTCTGGCAAGCTAAGGCTGATGGTGTCTGGTCTCATGATGCCTGGCTTTGTCAGGAGACATGCAAAAGCAGCATTTGGGGACAGGGAAGATTGGAGCCAGCTGAGGGCCAGCGTGCTGACTTGCTACCAAACTTTGCAACACTGGGCAATCCGAGGCGCAGTACTCCGTACGGACAATTGCATGGGCTGCTCTGGAGGCGCGATTCTGACGTTGTAAAGATAACAGTGGCAGTCTGGCTGACTCTATACTGGGCAGCCTTCATCCCGTCATGCAGATGACATGTTGCTGGTTCTTGTATCAAGTGGCATTGACCATCATAACATTGCGTTCCATTCATGATGACGAGGTGTACAGCCGCACTCAATGCTCACTCAGTAGCACATGGCAAGGATCAAAGAGTACGACGGTAAAAGCGAGCAGAGAAGCAGATATCTCCGCCTCATCTAGGATAGTGAAGCTGCTCTACGGAGTAATACTTGTCTTTTTTTACAACAATGCCATCTGGAAGTGGTAGCTTGATGAAAATGCACCGTTACTCGCGGCGCTGGCGTGGGGGCCGGACAAGGATGATGCACCATTGACATGTGTTTGTGGGCTGCTGTATGGCGGGATGCATCGTTGGGGCGGCATCTTGGGCATTGTCTGCTATTTCCGAGCAGCAGGTTCGGCATGCAATGGAAGGCTGGGCCTCCATCATGTAGAAACCGGCCTTGAAATGAGGCGCTGTGCCGCGCTTCTTGGTTGAAATGCGAATGAGTTGGCAAATATTTGTGGCGGGGGAAAGACATGGGGTCTGTGGCGTGTTGAGCGTCTTGAGGCGAGGTGATATGGATGTAACCGCACCGTGGTTGCACCACCTACTAAGCAGGTACTACTCCGTACATGCATGCAATGTCTGGTATACCTGGTTATAGTTGGGTAGTGTTATTGTCGTCTTGCGGTGACAGACTCCGTACCCAAGTCATGGAGATATTGACATCACTTGACAGCTCGACCATGTTTGAAAGCGGGGGACAAAACGTTGAGCATCTGCTATTGCGTGTCAGTGCGGAGTACCTAGGTATGTATTTGTTGGAAGGCAAACACACTCTGCCGTGGGCTATGGTACTCTTGAGTATTCTAGTCCATCCATGCAAAACGAGAGTTGCAAGCTGACAGGAGGACAAAAGTGGATGAGCGTGGCTAGCCTGAGGATAGGTGGTGGCATAAATTGTCCCTGGCCGTCGTATTGTAGGGTCCCAAATATATCTCCGAGCCGTCAATACTATTGTTTTGTAGAGGCGATGGCTTGCATGTACGGCAATGCGGATTGAATGAGGCAGCACAGCATGGGCAGCAGGTAAAAAACTTGGCAGGTCAGCATGAATTGATGGCGGAGCACTTGAGATCTAGCAGACTCATGTGCAAGTACGGAGTACCGGTGCCGTTTGTTGGGCGTGACTGCCGACAGCAGCCAGCAGCTAGCAGGTACCAAGGCAACAAGGCAAGAATACAATGGCAGATGGCAGAAATGGCAGGAGCACTGACCCGCAGTTGCTGTGTTTGTGGTATCGGCAAGCGCCAGCAAATGATGCCCCGCCTTCCCGCCTTCCCGCCATCGCCCGTAACCGCCTGCACCAACACTCATTCATCTCTGGCCAATCAATTCACACGCTTGGCAGCGACTCGGCTGTCCTGAGGCACCATCGTGTCGCAAGCGAAATCTGCCGACGCTCAGTGTCCAGTCGATATTCTCGACCAGGTCGATTTTTTTCTGCCTTTTCCCCAGCGCCCCGTCAGACGACCCGGAACCTTTTCTTCCCAACCTGTAAATTGGCTCTTGGCTGCCCTTCATGCCGTGTCTCCCTGTTCGGCGTCTCTTCAGTGACACACTTGCCGCGCAATCGGTGGCCGAGTGGTTTTAACGCCTGCGAGACTGAACACTAGCCAAGAATCAAAGGAGGCCAGGAGGCCACGACGGAACTGGCGGAAACATAATGCGCAGCTGTGAACGATTCGATTGCAGTGGGCGAGCCCGTGACGGCCGGGTGTGGGCAAGATTCAAGAGCTTCGACGTGGTAGTGACGGCGGCGGCAAAAATAAGGAATGGACAGTAGCAGCAGCTGGAGTGAACGCATGACTCCTTGGGCCTTTCTTCTTGGTCTCACGATTTTTGAACTCTTGCCTTCTTCGTTCGCCATGCATGTGTCCTGCAGTGGTCCCGCTGTCCTTTGACTGACCAGTTTCTAGTGAATGGCCTTTCGTCTGCCCACCCACCTTGTCTGTACCACTGCTGAACAAGCAGGACTCTTGATGCAGCATTTCATGAACTGAACATCATTGAGATATCGTAGCACCATTGTTAACGGCTCTTTCCTCTGTCTTTTTATTATTCAACTTTTGTGCTATACAACAACGCTTTTCCCCCCCTCAGCGACATCATTATCACCACCAGCATATCCGCAACTTTCACCTCGTCATCAAACCAACGTATTTGCCCGCTGTCTGCAACGAATAATCGCCTTTTCGGCTATATTCAGAAAGAAAAATTACTTTTCAAATATACAATGGCCAGATTGCCTCCTCATCTTCGGCTCCTGCTTCTCGCAGGCGTCGTGTCTTCAAAACCAACCCCGGCACTATTCGCTCGCGATACTTGCGCAGCAAGCGGCAGAGCATCTTGTACGTCGCAGGGTCTCTCGGAAGGGTTGTGTTGCCCTACAAGCAGTAACTGCGTCCCTCTGGCAGGGAATACCACAGTCATTTGCTGTCCGAGTGATAGCTCGTGTACCAAGATCCAACCCATCACCTGCGACATATCCGAACAAGACCCGACATTACATCCAGACGCTCCTATAAAAACCACGGCGCACGGCGCCAAATTACCGACATGTGGTAGCAATTTCTGCTGCCCTTTCGGGTATACCTGCTCGGCGGATAGCTCGTCGTGCACCAAGGACTCGGACCAGTCCAAAGCGCCTCCAGGCATGACTCCAACATTGACGCCTATGGCCAAGCCAGAAGCTACATCACCTTCGACTTCAACAGCGCAAGCAGCCGCGGCCACCTCAACAAGTGCGAGCCAAGAAGACAATTCATCTTCTCTCGGGGCCGAGAAGATATCCATCATTGGAGGGGCGGTTGGCGGTGGTCTCGCGCTTATTCTCCTGGTAGGAATAATATTCCTCTGCGTACGAAGCCGTTCGAGAAAATCTCCCAAGTCCCCGCCATTTAGAGAGATTTCTCCACCCATATTAAATAACCAAGCCGGCCGTGTAGACTTTATTCGAAAGGAAGAACACACTCCACCACCACCAAAGGGACCCTCTTTCATGGACCGCTGCTCTCGGTTTCTAGGCCTACCAGAGCGCCAGACGCAGAACGCACACTCGGGTATACCTAATCGATTTTACTCGCCTAACCCTTCTCTTCAGTCATCGCGCCTGTCACGATCATCCTTGACATCCGAGGATGATCGCAACGCACGAACGGGACATGTCGGCGCACGTCTGCCACCCATTCGGCAAATGAGAGGCACACACACGCAGTCGCGCAGAATCTCGACACTAGACGCTTATGATGAGCCAAGCCGGGAGAGCATCAATGTGTTTGCCGACCCCGACACGGTGAGCAACGACGGCCACCGTAATCACCGTGGCACAACATTCAGCGACCTGATGGACCAAGCAGACATGAGCGGTGTTCATCGCAACGGGGGGTACGTGCCTGGAAGCCAGAGACTACGAGTTCCCGGAGCGACACCAAACTTGTGATGAATACGTCTGCCGGCCTTGAAAGGTTGAGAGTTTGTGGCACCTTCACAACAAGACGAAGACGGAAGCATGCAAGTGGCCAGTGATGCCGGCTTTGACATTTGACAAGGGGCTGTGCGATAAAGGGCAATACATAATGTACATGAACAGGTGAAGAAAATTACGAGCCATTTGCATCGAAATTTCGTTTGTCTTTGGACTGGAGTTGGGGATCTCGTGTTGGGCAGTCAGTCTTTTTTCTTTTCTAATTCTTTGATACTCCCGATAGTAATAGACGTTGTTGGTTGCACACATGTGCAGGATGTAGACACGGATTCTTTGTTGGGCACTCCGTCCTTGGTGATGAAAGCAGTCTTTTTTTTTTCCCCGGCGCAAAGGCCTCTTTCGTGCCGGCATGGCTAGGCGAGTTGTCTGTGGTTTTCCATGAAAGGCCATTGTTTGAAAGTCGACAATGGCGTGCAGCTTGCATGAGACCCCTTTTGATTGTGAAACCCCTTGAGCCCAGGTTCAGTCCTGCAGGGAGGGAAATGTCTGCTTGCGAACCGAGTATTGACGCACCCTTCGCGGTGTTCACTGTTGCCACTTCAACAGCGCATCGATGGCACGCAGACTCATCCATGAAGCAAACTTCACCATTTGTAGTCAATAGTCAATAGTACGCGGCGCCGTCTTCGAGCTTGTTCAAAAACGCCAAGACGTGGCAGCCTCAGATCCTCAGGTAATCATGGCCCGCGCGGCCCAGCACAATGCGCTGGCACCTTGGTCTTGCTCAGCACCAGCTCGCTCAGGCCCATCGGCCGGGTCAGCAGCACCGGGCAGACACCAAGGTCGGGGTCCTCCAGCGCAGCCTGGTATCCTGGTATCCGGCATGCGCCATCGGACGCGCGCGCCGGCAGACGACACCCCGCCTCGCGCGGCGTCGCTGACCAGAGCGCGCATCTTGGCTCGCCCTCGCCATGGTCAGTCGCGGCCGCGACGAGATTCAAGGCGCTCGTGTCGGATGCGCACGTTCGAGAAACGTCAAGTCGTGCCCCGACCCCTTTTCTGTTGCGCGCGGCAACGTGGTACGTCGGGTTGCCCGCCGGCGGAGAGGCCGGGCGTCGACAAGGCCGCTCGCCATCTGCACCCTTCTGGTCGCAGGCGACGCTGTTGCCGGGCGAGCCGGACCCGTGGACCCGACATGTCGACGGCGACGGGCCCGTAGGTCGCGGTGGTGCGGACCCGACATTTGGCGGCCGTTGGGGCAGACGCCGTGGCGCACCTCGCGCCGTTGGGTTGCGCCCGCCCGTCGAGGCGCATCGTGTGTCCGCGGTAGGCATTCTGACCAGAGTCAAGTCAAGTCCCATAGCAAGCGACCTGCCCTTGCCACAGGTGTACACAAGCACGCTGCAAGATGGCGCGGGCCTAGAAGATGATAGCTGCGTTCAGCCAAGCTGCTGACATCAGATTCGAAGCCTTTCGGTCGGGTCGATTAAGCCGCTACAATAGACATGAGCCGTCGAATTCGAAGCTTCCCGATCCAGTTGCGGCTTGAAAGCACATGTGCAGCCCCTAGAGTTAGATTGTCCGTGGCCGCATCTGTATTCCATGTTCCTGGTAGCAAGTTGCACATGTATGTGACCGCCGACTCTTTGCATCATGACCAGCTACACACCAGCATCTACATCACCATGCAAAAATTACCCAACGGCGCAGGGTACTAATGCTTTCTAGCATTGATTGTAAAACGACAGGCTATGATACTACAACAACGTAGACGCTATGCAATGGATATTCAAAAACCGCTTCCTGCAATTCCATCCCCGAGCCGTGTATAACGAGTGGTGCCACACCACGAGCTTTGTTCCAAAATCAAATCCTATTTCAAACATGTTGGCAAACCCCCCAGGCCCAGTTGCTCATACAAATGAAAAGTTAGCCTGATATGACAGGGGAAAAAAAAAAACAGGCAAAACTCGCTCAAAAACCATGTCTTCGCCATGCACATCGTCACATAAGGACGCATTTGCTCTCCTTCGGCTTTGATGGAGTGGGTATGTCAACCCATCCGGCACTGTCCGGGAGGGATTCTTTCTTCTTCTTCTTCGGCATCCACCCCTTCTTCTTGGCGTCCTTCATATTCTTTGCTGCGCTTCTTTCCGCACGGCTGCGGCGTCTGTTGACGCTGTTAGGCGTCCTACGCGACGAGTTTGACGGGGTTCTCATCCACATGGGCAAGGCGTTAGCTGTTGAGCGCATATGAGGAGGCAATGAGGCCGCAGCAGGCTGGTTATTGTAAATATTCTCCAGCTGTTGCGCAGTCCCCCCCGTTCTCGGGAAGTTGGCAGGTCGTGGCCGTCGTGGAATGGGAGCAAGTATAGGCGTTTCTGCGTGTGCAGAAGACCCTCGCCGCTCAGGCGGGTCGTGCGATCCGGAAACTCCGGTTGGTGTACTGATGATGAGAGGTCGATCAAACTCTGCAACATGAAACCTTTCCTCTTCCGCAGAAATGGGCGGGGGCTGGTTCTGCGACGGTGAGCCCCTTGGCTCAATCATACTGCGGCCATTGCCCATCCAGAGCTGCGGATTCAAAATATTGCCCGACAGTCGGCGAGGATTGCCCTGACTTATTCTCTTGTTCAGGCTCGCAATCTGAGAAGAACTCGGCGCGGGCGGAAGAGAGCCCGCTGCAAAATCGTTTGAAGTAGCGTTCAAAGGCGGAGCAGTGTAGGGATGCCCTGAAAACTGCTGTGATGGGCCCATGTTTGACTGTGTTCCTGGCTGAAGTTGCTTAGGCCACGTTCGGGCATTAGACAGACGCCTGACAGCTGGCTCTGCTTCTGGGGCAGGAACAACATTCGACGCAGATGAAGGGATATGCAGTTCCAATATTGGCGCTCCGGGCCGAGCTCCAGGCCCAGTGCTAGAGCCAGGACTCAAGGGAGCAGCCACTGATGTCGCTGCGGGAAACTCAGTCCATTGCTGGGATGGGGCCGTATCAAAAGAGGCTACAGCTGAGCTATTTCCACGAGACGTAGGTGACGGCATCTGATCCTGAGGCGCCGCGGGCTCGCTAGGGTGCGCAGACGATATGCGTGGAGAAGCTGGCGGCGACACGTCGTAGAGGTCGTCTGCTTGAACTGATAGCATAGAAGGTGAAGATCTCGGGCGAGGTACATCCAAGACCTGCAATCTGTCGATATTCGTAGCCTCGCTTGGGTTATGCTGATGATGAGTCCGCCTGTACGGAGTCCCATCCCTAGTTGCATTCGGCGGATGCTCCAGGGCTAACGTTAAAGAGCTATTGAGAGTCTCGCTGGTCGAACTACCTGCGGAATGTGGAAATTTCTTCGCTTCTGATAAGTCGTCTGTAGCCGACATTGGCGCCACCGGAGGTCTGCGCATAAAGACAGGCATATCACCAGGGTCTTCTTTTTGATAAGGAGGCGGAGGAGGCACCCAGTTGTCGGCATCACTCTCGTGAGGATGTTCGGTACGGCCGTCTGCCCGACGGTACTCGATGGGACGGCCGTCCGCCGTGCGAGGATTCAGTCGCCGATTCACAGCCGCGGCCGTAGCTGCCCGACGAAGGGTTGTACCGGACCGAGGGCTAGCGTGCGCATAGGGTGCATCAAGAGCCTCTTGCTCCTCCATGGATGCAAATTCTTCCTCAGCCTGAGAAGTCGGTGCTGCGGTTCGGCGGTTGATTGGATGTTGTCCAACCGTCCTTGGAGCCAACGGGTCGTCATCGTCATTGTCGTCTGCCTTGTTGCCAGGTTGCATTAGACAGGGAAGGGGCTCTCGTCCGGCGGCTGTGGTTGCTGCTCGGAGAAGAGCAGCACTGCCTCCTCGCCTCTGGGCAACGGTTCTTCGTCGGACTATGGCCACCTCTGTTTCTAAATCACGTCGTTGCTCGGCCAGTGGCTCGGCACCGTCTGTTCCCACTTCAATCGTAATTTCTACAGTCTCCCCGTTCACGAGGCCGTAATCAAAGTCCAGCAAAACAATACGTCCACCATCAACAAAGTCGATGTCCTCCTCATCCGTCACCAGTCTTGGACCCATGACTCCTGTGGCAGTAGCCACAAGCCGTTCGTGGGAGGAATGCTCTCCAAAGTTTCCAACCCACTTGACACTGCCAACACCACTTAATTCGGTAACCTTGAATCCAGCTACTAGATTGTTCCGCAGCTTGTCGCAGAGAGCTTGCCACTGAGGCACCCGTTCGGCTTCAGCACCATCTTGGCCGCGTGTCGAGGTGCGACGGGACAAGCTACTTTGGGTACTATTATGCCTGCCTAGTCCTGGAGAGTTCGAATTCGACGTAATATCACGAGTTGCTGGTGGTGCCTCCGGTATAGCGTCCAAATCTTGGGGGATGCCATAAATCCAAACCTCGTTGCCCTGGAACCCTGCCGAAACCAGCTCTCCCTGGGACGTGGTGGCGGGCAGAGTACATGGCAATAGCTTTGTCTGCAACTTGGCATTTGGAATCGGGCCAGTGAAATAAGTTGTCCCATTTCGGAGATCGTCGAGGCGTACGGCACGAAAGGTTTCGAAGCTGCGATCATAGGTGAATGTCCACTCGGGCTCTCCATGTTCGTCATCGGGCAACCATATGGCATGACTGCAGTCACGACTCGTATTCGGAAAAAGGATCGAGGTAGTCCACATGGCACCCAAATTTTCCTCCAACAGCTGACTACCAGGGTCATAGTACGGTGCTGTCAGAACAACAGTGCACGGCGGAGACGAGTTTACAGTGGTGCCCAGAAGCTGGGTCCCGTCGAGTGAAAAGGCCAAGGCATCAACCGCGTCACACTTGACGGCTCTCTTTTCTGTCGCCAGAGTGGACGATTTCAACGAAGACACTTCAATACCTCCATCATATGCAGCAGCAAGGACGGCACCGCAAGCGGATATTGCAATTGTCTGTGGTTTGTTGTCCAAAATCAGGGAGTGCTCTCGATGTGGTGGCGACTGGGTCAAATCATAAATATCGACCTGCATCTCACTCGACAGCACAGCAAGGGTATGTGCATCATCAGTAATGCAGGCCGAAGCTGGTCGTCGTTGAATCTTGAACTCCCGTTTAACGTTGACTGTTGGGCTGCAGACATCGATGACGTAAATTCTCGACGAGTTGTATGCCAGAAGGTGCTGGCCTCTGGGTGAAGAGGCAAACTGCATTCCCTCTCCACCAGGACATGATGAAGAGCTGATTGAATTGGACACCAACTTTATCAAGGTCCGTTTGGGGCGCATATAAGATTCGAATAGATTTCGTTTGACCTCGCGTGCAAAAAGGCGGCGAAGCGCGGGCAGATTATCATCTACGGCGATGGGAACCGGGGAATGTGAGGTTGCATAGGACGGGCATTGTGCCAATTGATGTGTGTAAAGGTGAGGGCGTTGAGATGTTGCTCTCCACTTGCTGTTGAGGAGAATCAGAGATGCGAAATCGTTTGGTTCCGCGGCGAGGAGTATTCTTGTGGTACGTCAATATCTCCAGGAACAACAGCAGATGAGGCGGCGAGCCAGGGAGGAAGGCATAGCTTACTGCTCGATAATCTCGTCGGGAAGTCGATGGAAGGCATCGGAGTCGGTTGCGATCTGGATGGGTGTCTTTTCGATGCTAGAACGCCGCTCTTCTGTCACGACGAGGTCGTCCATGGTGAGGTCAGATGCTTCCTCAGGGCCGGCGGTAGGCGGGTGATTGCGGCAATCATGCGGGCACAGAAGGAATTATGAGGTTGCGAAGCTGCAGAAGGTTGACATTGTGTTCCAAGAGGGTTTTGACAGGGCGTCGCGCGGATGCTTGTTGGAGAGGGAGTCCGGAAAATGGCAAGACGAAGGTATGAAGCGAAGGGGCATTGCCGTGTGCGGAGGTCAAGGTAGCGTCAGTGCGGAACAAGGTGGCCCAAACGGGTCAACTGGTGGCAGAAGATTGAAGGCAATTCCTGGCACCGAGGAGGTGATGAACAACAGGTGCCCAGGCGGTGGCGGCCCCGTGCATGTACAGGGAGGCCAGCTGGCCGAATTAGGCTACTGGGGCTGCTAACGGGACCCGCCAACCCGCTACGGCAGGGAGGGGACAGCGTGCCAGTCCATCCAGTCTACAATATGTCAAGTCGGCGGACGCTTGGAACAGAGCAATTCATTGGACCGATTTGATACAAATGTCCGGTTGATCTTGCCAAAACATCAACAACTGGTTCCTCACGACTGTGCGAGCAATGCCATCCCTTGGGCACCTTGGACGCCACTGGCAATGCGCCGTTGTTTCATCGAGCTAAACAGACGTCATGGACTGCATTGAACGCTCGCAACATACGTCGTC